ACCAGAAATTTTAATTAAAAAGTATATTAAAACAATATTACTGTCTAGTGACAAATAAATCAATGGAACAGAAAAAAGTACATATGGAAATTTAGTACTGTATGAAGTTACCATTTTATATTTGTAGGGACAACTGAATACTCAATAAATGGTTTGGGGCAACCAGCAAGTTGTTTAGGGAAAAAATTTTTTTTAAAGAGTTATCTATTTTTAGAGAGAGGGGAAAGGAGGGAGACAGAGAGGGAGAGAAACATCAACATGTGAGAAATACATTGATGGGCTGCCTCTCAAACACCCCCAACTGGGGACTAACTGCAACCCAAGGCATGTGCCCTGACCGGGAACCAAACCGGCAACCTTTTGGTTCATAAGCCAGCACTCAATCCACTGAGCTACACCAGCCAGGGCAGAAAAAAAATTTTTGTTTTAATAAAACTTCTAAAAATCAAGCTAGATTTTTTTCTTTCCTCCTTATAAATAAGTTTCAAATAGATTAAATATTGAAATATTTTTTAAAATATCTTTTTTAAAAGGATTTTATTTACTTATTTTTAGAGAGAGGGGAAGGAAGAGAAGAGCGGGAGAGAAACATCAATGTGTGGTTGCCTCCTGCGCTCCTCCCACCGGGGACCTGGCCTACAACCCAGGCATGTGCCCTGACTGGGAATCAAATCAGCAACCCTTTGGTTTGCAGGCCAGTGCTCAATCCACTGAGCTACACCAGCCAGGCTCAAATATTTTTAAAGATGTCTAAAACTGCTAGAAGAAAATACACAAAAGTAAGCATAACATCAAAGCCAGGAAGAAAAAGACTATAGATATGCCTACATAAAAATGAAAAAATTCACAATAACAGCCCATCACCTTAAACTCTTACTGATTTGCACTTATTTATGGGTTTTAATTCTGATTAATTCTATAGTTTTTACATAGTTCAAAACTGTACAGAAATAATTTTATGGTATACATTTTATATAACCTTATCATATACTTTTTCTTATACTCCTTACTGTCTATTTAGTCTATACATCATGTCAAGATACTCCATTCTCTTCCTCTCTGCTTCCCTCTCCCTTTTATATTGGGTTGGCCAAAGAGTCCATATGATTTTTTTCTATAAAATAAAATACATATTTTTCATTTTCACCAATAACTTTATTGATTTGGATATTTTAAGTATGTCAGCTATCGTCCATGTGGTATAACATTGACTGTTTCTCATTTAATGTCTCAATTTGATCACTATCATCTTCAACTGGTCTACCTGACCATGAAGCATCATCCAGCGACAAAGCTCCAGTACAAAATTTTGCAAACCACTTTTGACATGTTCAATCGGTTACAGCACCTTCTCCTACACTGCAAAGATCTTTTTCTGTGTTTCAGTTGCATTTTTACCTTTCTTGAAATAATAAAGCATAGTATGCTGAAAATGTAGCATATTTTCTTCCATCTTCAATATTAAAATGGCTACACAAAAATTCACCAATTTGATTTGTTTAAATGCATGCTGATATGAGAGCTGTCACAATACAATCCAACAAAATTGTTCTGAATGAAGTTAAAGACAACAAAGCTCTACTAAAGCCATCTTACAGAAAAAAAATGAACTTTTTGAACAACCCAATAAATAACTTTCTTTCAAAGTTACGACCATTTACTTTCTTCTCAAGTGAATTTTAGTATCTTTTTCTTTAGGTTTATAAAATATCATTTTTTGTATTTTAATGGAAACTGATAATATATAAATAACTCAGAGATAAATTGTATCCTTTACTATTTTAGTCTATCTCATATCATATGCTCTTTCTTTTTGCTAGACTTCTCTTTTTGTCTTCCAATAAAAGTCCTATTGAATGGAAGCCATAAAAAGGAAAAGTTAAGAAAAACCTCCTTCAGTAAATAAACACCACAGGCCACATTAGAAGATGAATTTTAAAATAAAAAAATTCTTATTGTATTTCAGGCAAAGGTTAAATCAATTATATATAAAAAGCACTTGTAGTTTTTAAAATGTAAATATTTTAATTTTAAAATAGGCAGTTATCATGAACTGGCAATTTACAAAAACTGAGCCAATAGATGAAAGATATTCAGTTTTACACTTAGTTAACAAAATGCAAATTAAAACAAGTCAATAAAAATGATAAAAGATTTTTGAAAGGTGATAAAGATCATGAAGATTGACAATACTCAAGATTAGCAAGAAGAGAGTTTTCCCTGGTTGGTGTGGCTCAATGGATTGAGTATTGTCCTGTGAACAGAAAGATTAGTAAAACACAACTGTCATTCACATAACCTGTTGGTGGAAAAGTAGTACAATAGCTCCCCTTATCCGTAGAGGATGGATCCAAGACCCCCAGTGGATGCCCGTAACTACAGGTATTACAGAACACTATATAATGTTTTTTTCCTTCACATTCATACCTATGATAAAGTTTAATTTATAAATCACATAAAGAGATTAACAATAATAAAATAGAATAACCACATACTGTAAGAAAAGTTATGTGAATGTGCTCTCTTCCTCAAAATATTTTATTGTACTATGCACACAGCATCATTACAGTAGAAAAGATGATGATTTCACAGCAGGGGCAGGACAGAACCAGACATCAGAGATTTCATAACACTACTCAGAATGGTGCCCATTTTTTTTAACTCCTCACCCAAGGTCATGCTTATTCATTTTTATTTTATTTTTGTATCCTCACCTGAGAACATTTTTTCATTTGCTGAGGGGGGGGGGGAGAGAGAGAGAGAGGGAAAGAGAGAGAGAGAACGGGATGGTAAGAGTCTAGATCATCTAGATAAACTCACAGCCTAGATACGTGCCTTACTGGGAACAGAACCCACAACCCTTGGGTTACAGAACAGCATTCCAACCACTCAGCTACACATGCCAAGGCATGCTTATTGATTTTAGAAGGAGGGAGGGAGAGAGAGAGGGAGCAAAACATTGATGCAAGAGAGAAATATGAATGGGTCGCTTCTGGTAGGGGTCCCGAGATCCGCACGGAAACCACAGCTTTGGCATGTGCCCTGACTGAGAATCGAACCCTCAATTCAGTTTACCAGACCTTTAGGAGGGGACGCTGCAACTCACTGAGCCACACTGGCAAGGGCAGAACAGTGCCCGATTTAAATTTATCAATTATTCCTGAAATTTTCCATTTAGTATTTTTGGATTGCTGTTGACCCAGGTAACTGAAACCATGGAAAGCAAAACCATAGATAAGCGGAGGTGGGGTTAGACTATAAACACATTTCAAGAGGAAAGTCTGGTAACTTAACCTTACAATTGAGCATTTCCCTTAAGCCAGTAATTACATTTCTGTGACTTTATTGTAAGGAATTAATCAGGCATATGTATACATTAATGTATAAGAATAGTCATCGAGTACAGTTTGTATAAGTTAAAAACTGTAAGTACCCCTAAAGTCCAACCATTTTGGGACTGGTTGAACATGTTATATCCATACATACAGCCGTTAAATGCCATTAGTCTATTTCAATTTACTGGAAAGATATGAGACATTATTGGGACAACATAATATGCTTAATTTTTTCTACTAAAAAAACTTTACGTGTATATATGCGAAGTTTCCTAAGTTTATACAGCACTACGTTTAATAGTTATTTCTGGATGGAGAGATTGTGGCTGAGTTTAACTTTCTTTTACATACCTTTATGTACTTACTATACTATGGCTTTGCAGCGAGCAGGCATTTTTTAAAAGCAGCATTCTTCTTACAATTAGAAAATGCAAGGAAACTACGCGAATCGTGCGAGGATCCCGCCCACCCGCAAGGGCTGAGGTGAGGTCAACGGGCTCAGCACTGGAAACAAGCCTTGTGAGCCCCCGGGAATTCTGGGTAACGCAGAACACCTCATTACCTCACGAAGAAACTTAGCATTTAAAAAATACTTCCGTTAACACACTATCTATTAATCTGATAGGGCCCTTTCTGGCCTGCAAGCTAGAAGGTAAGGTCGGAGAGTTAAGGTTGTCTCTTAAAAATGAGAAAGCCTTCCTCGCTCCTTCCCGCATCATCCTTCCGCTCAACGCTAGGGGGACCTTCGAATTACCCTTTGGGAAGGCCGTTTCTGTGGGTAACAACGGATTTGCGAAAACGCGGTAAGAAAGGTGCAGGGTCGCCTACTATTGTGTTCGAAAGCCGCCCTAAACCGCCCTGAAAGGCGTGAGCTCGCACGGCGGAGCCGGGGGCGTACAAGCGAGAGACACTCTGATTACCCCACAGCCCTTCTGTCCCGGCGCTCCTCCACCGAGCGTGGCGGAGCCGCGCGCGTGCGCGCGCACGCACAGGCGTCTCTGCGCGGCGGTTGGTTCACCTTACGCCCTTGTAGGTTCTTTGCGTTCGGAACTGGGCGGAGCGAGGGGGAACGGTTAACGCTAGGCCTGGAAAAGGGAGGGGGAATGTTACGTGTTCTTGCTGCCACAGATAGCAGGTCGCGCGGCAGTGCCCACGGCAGGCGTGGGACTGAGGGAGAGGTGAGACCCAGGCGGAAAGATCGGGTCAACAGCTGGCGCAGCCTGCGTAGCGAAAGGCTGAGAATTCTGCGTGAGGAAAGCGGGAGCGGAGGGATGATTGCCCCCAACAACCTCCGCTGTGAACAGTGGAACTGCAAAGATAATATTTGAAGAGGTGGAGAGGCCTGGGAGATAGACAAACCCACACCCTCTCGTTACTCGGGAGGGTCACCATAGACCTGATTAATCTTAGGCTTGTATTTGGAGTGGAGGTTGATAAACCAATTTTTGAATGACTCATTCAAGATTAACGGTAGTTGGTTTTGAGGTAGCAAAAGGACATGTGGGTGGAAATGTTTACACGAGGTCTCTGAAGGCAATCTATTTGAATTACCTGTAGAAAATGGGTCCCTAATTTGCTACTTCAGGGTATTAAAAACAACTGGTAATGTGTTGTAAAATTAATTCTCTTCTGTTTGGCTAGGTGTCTAACTTTATAGTGATTAATTTGTAGCTTTGCTGTAAAAGGCTAACATTTGAGTCCCAGAGAGTGAAGAATCATAAAGTTTTGGAAGAGTAAAACCTCGACTGGAGGCCTGAAAACCGGGTAAGGCTTCCAGATCAAAGATTTCCAAATTACAGGGTGAATGATTTTCAAAGGAAAAATTAAGAGTAAGAACTTCAGATTTAAGTTCTTGTTTGTTTTACTAACACAAGTTACATAATTGATGGAAACTTTATAGTAGATTATATTGACCCATTGACTACTACTTATAATTTAAAATTTACCTTAATTTGTAAATATCAGAGAGCCTTTTACTAATTTATTCTTGGAATATTATTTGAAATGAAATTAAATTTTTTTCTTTCAAAAAGAAAATGCATAAAAGAGTTTGAATATAATTACACATATTTTAAGAAAGAGATACGAAGTTTAACATCCGTAATTGGATGTTTATTTAGTCACATTAGAAAATATAGATTAAAAGATGGGGGAACTCTATTAATCCCACTATCCAGAGTTAATTGTTGTTAATATTTTAGTGTTATTTTTGTTTTTTCTTGTCATTAAACAGTATATTCATGAGAGACCAACCTGTGACTTTATCAAGAGGTTAGGACTATGAGAGATTTCATCTTGTTAGATATTACTATACCATTTGGAAAATATTATTGTCAACATAAGAAACATCCAAACCTGTAACCAAGCTGATGACAATTGCCGGGAAGTAAAATCTCAATGGGTTGAGAAAATAATCTGGAGAATGGCAGTTTTGTAGCTACTGTATACTTTAGAAACACAAGAGAAGACTTTAGGAGGTTATATGAAATCCATTGGAGGTAGATTAAGGGAGTGGGAGAAAGCAAATTGGGGAAATCTCTGGAATTGGAAATAAAGTAAGATGGAAAGACACATGCTTCTTTTACATTGGTGGGTACATGATAGTTAATATTTACAACACATAGAAATGGTATTTGGGACACAAAATAACAGTGAGAGGTTCTGTGGTCTCCTGCTCTGGTGTGGTAGGTTTCTCTGCAGGGTCTGGAAAAGGGGATTTCTCTGATATTTCAAAGGTTTGTTATCTTAGACGCAAGAGACAATAGACAGGCTCACTTAAGGTAAAGGTTGACCTTTGTCAAGGAAGCTACAGGACTAGGATGTGATTATCCTTCATGACCTGCTTTTAGTTAGAAATTTTTACGTTCAGACCATCCTATGCAGTTACTTTTGGTCTCTGAGTTTGTAGGGCCTACCGAGGCCTGCCATGAGCTTGTCAGGTTTAGTATGTGGCCCCATTTTTGCCCACATTATAATATGCAAGCATACTTGTAACCAGAGAAAACAAAGATATTGAAAAGAAACAAAGGAATATATTATCAACATTTTGTTACTATCACTGAAGTATTTTATAACTGCATCACTGATTTTAAAGGAATTCACAATTTTGCAACAAATGTTCTACAAAGTGACTGATTTAAAAAGAGATTAAACGTGTTTATCTTATTTCCCTGTGAAACTCCACTGAAATGAGAAAATTTAAAAAACCCACAAGGACTAAGAGTAGGAAAGAGACAGAGAATGAGATTGGAAAAAGGAAAGGGAATGAAGAAACTGTTGGAGCTGAGAAAGCTGAATACAAAGGGGAATGCCAATTAGAAAGAAAGTAATTCATACTTCAGAACTACAGAAAGGCTCTGTAAAGGAAAATTATATTTTTCTCCTCTACTTTCAATGCTCTAACACCACATGTGTGAGGGTTTATGCCACACCAAGCAATTCTCAGTGGACACTAATTGAGTGCCCTACAAATTTAACTCAGTTCTGACAGTATCTACTTGGAGATAGCATCAGATCCCTGAGGTTAAGGACAGTGCTGGTTCATATTATGTATCAACTTGTCTGGGCTAAGGGATGCCCAAATAGCTGATAAAACATTATTTCTGAATGTGTCTGTGAGGGTGTTTCTGGAAAAGATTAGCATTTGATTAAGTACACTGAGAAGATATCTGCTCTTACCAAAGTGGGCTGGCATCACCCAATCACTTGGGGTACCCAAATGAAACAAAAAGATGAAAGAAAAGCAAATTTTCTCTCCTGGGGCTGGGATGCCCTGTTCTTGGACTTTGGTGTTCCTTGTTTGTGTTCTAGGGGTGACACCATCAGTTCCCCTGGTTCTCAGGCCTCCAGACTCAAACTGAATTATACCATTAACTTTCCTATTTCTGCAGCTTGCAGACAGCATAGTGTGGGACTTCTCAGCCTCTCTAAGGTGAGCCAATTCCTATAACAAATCTTTTATATATTCAATTGATTCTGTTTCTCTGTAGAATCCTGTCCGCCCTCAAGACTACCCCCCAACCCTGACTTCAGATACCAATTTCAAGTCTAGGTTGTCGTGTACTTCTTACCAACTAGCTATAAATTAGGGTTCCCATGACTCCTCAAGTTCAATAATTTCCTAGAATGGCTGATATAACTCAGGGAAATATTTACTTAAGTTTATTGATTTATTATAAAAGGATGCAACTCAGTAACAGCCCCATGGAAGAGATGCATAGGGCAAGGTAGGGGGAAGGGACACAGAGCTTCCATGCCCTCTCTCTGTACCACCCTTCCAGCACCTCCACATGTTCACCAACTCAGAAGTTTACCATATCTCCTTGTTCAAGAGTTTTTATAGAGCTTACATTAATTTCTTTTTTTTAAATTGATTTTAAAGGAGGGCGGGGAGAAACATCGATTTGTTGTTCCACTTATTTATGCATTCATCGGTTGATTGTTGTATATGCTCTGACCAGGAATTGAACTCACAACCCTGGTATATCCAGATGATGTTCTAACCAACTGAGCTGCCTGGCTAGGGCCTTCATAGAGCTTAATCTCTAGTCCTTGTTGCCCTTTCCTGAAAGTCTGTTGGCTACATAGGGGCCCTCCCCTAAATCACTTTATTAGCATAAACTCAAAAGGGGCACATTCTGGATAACAAAAGCTACTCCTATCATTTATGAAATTCCAAAGATTTTTAGGAGCTCTGTGCCAGAAACTGGGGACAAAGGCCAAATATATGTTTTATACCACAGTTCATAAATTAAGAGATCCACATCAATGAGAGGATATGGAAGGAAAGACCAGGAAGTTGATTGAAAATTTGTACAGAATAGTTAAACTTCTAGGTTTAGAATTTATCCTTAGGATAGACTATAATAATATTAGATAAATTAGAATCTAATATCCTTAGGACAAATAGCCAAGTGACTAGCGTACTCCTAGTCACTTCTGTGAAATAGAAGTTTTAGTTGGTAGAGACTGAGTCAGAGGGGTCCCAGATTCAGGTCAAGCAAAAAACATTAAATGAAAAGTCTACATACTGAATAATGAGACCCACTCCAGCCCCTTTCCACTGCTTTCATAGCACTAGTAGCCACTGTTGACCTAAATTTGAACATACCAATAATTACATCATATGTAAATGATAGAAGTACACCAAAGAAAAGAGATTTTAAAATGAATGTATGTCAAAAACCCTCATGAACCAACATGTGCTATATATGAGAAACTCATCTCACATATCTAAAGATTACATGTAAAAGAATGGACGGATACTCTGAAAACTGAAATAGCTGTATTGATATCAGACGAGGTAGCCTTCAGAATAAAGAAAAGGACCCACGGATAAAGTCATAACAATAAAGGAGTCAGTTCATGAAAAGGACATAAAAATTCTTATTGTTTATATACCTAACCATAGTGTTTCAAAATACATGAAGCAAAATCTGTCAGAAGTGAAAGACAAAATATACAAATCCACCATTATAGTTGGGGACTTCAATACTCTCTTGGTAATAAATTAGGAACAGAAAGCCAACAAGGACATAGATGATAATATGGAAAATCTTAACCATATCAACTAGATTTAATTGACATTTATAGAACACCCCACTCCAAAAGAGAATATACATTCTTTTTAAGTACTCAGAGAAGATTCACTAAGATAGACTATATCCTGAGTCATAAATCTTAACAAATTTAAAAGAATTTTACGTAATACAAGGTATGTTCTTTGACCTTAATGATATTGCATTGGATAGCAATAGCTGAAAAATAACAAGAAAAACAGTACACTTGTTGGAAATTAAACAGTATACTTTTAAATAACGCATGGGTCAAAGAGAAAATATCAAAAGAAATTAGAAAATACTTTGATGTGAAAAAAATAATATATGAACATTTATGAGATGCAGATAAAGCAGTGCTTAGAGGAGAATTTACAACATTAAAATGTTTATATAGGGTCTCAAGTCAATGACCAAAGTTTTCATCCTAAGAAAACTAGAAAAAGAAGATCCGTGACCCATGTGGCTCTGTTGGTTGGGCATGTCCTGCAAAGCAAAAGGTGATTTGCAAAGCAAAGCACTAGTTCAATTCCTGGTCAGGGCACACACCTGGGTTGTGGGTTTGGTCCCGGGTTTGGCCATGTACGAAAAGCAACCAATCGATGTTTCTCTCTCACATCAATGTTTCTCTCCCTCTCTCTAAAAATAAATAAAATCTTTAAAAAATATTTTTTAAAAAGAAAACTAGAAAAAGAAGAGGAAAATAAGCCCAAAGCAAGCAGAAGGAAGAAAATGGTAAATATAACTGCATAAAAATCAATTAAATGGAAAATAGAAAAATAAAGCAAATAATTCAAAAGTTGCTTCTTTGAAACAAATTGATAAAACTTTAGCAAGACTAATAAAAAAAACCAATAAATATGGCACAATTACCAATAGCCACACTAAAATGGATATATAACTATAGACTCTATAGGACATTAAAAGGATAATAATATGAACAACTCTCCACACATAAACTTAACAAGTTAGATGGCTGGCCCAATTCCTTGAAGACTGAAAACTACGAAAACTTACCCAAGATAAAATAGAGAGGGAACAAGCCCCAGCTCAGTGCATGGGGCCACCATTATCATGGTACTAAAAAGACATTACAAGAAAAGAAAATTATAGATCAATGTCCCTCGAGAACATAGGAAAATCTTCAAGAAAATATTTGAAAATTAAATCCAGTAATATTGATAAGGGCAAGATGACTTGGGAGGAGCAGCCTAGCCAGAGACCCCTCCCAGGTTAACTGTTAATCATTGCTTATCTGTTCCTGTAGCCCGTTTTCACATCCCTTCCCCCGCCTGGGTAGCACATCAATCTCATCAATCTCCCACCTGAATGCTAATCCCTTCCCCCACCTGGGAAGCCCATCCGTTTCCCGCCCGGAATGCTAGGGCTTATAAACCCCTATCTAACCCCGATTCGGGGCTCAGAATTTGGAGACTGCCTCCTCTGAGCCCGCGCGTGTGAATAAAGGCTTACTCCGTTCCCTGAATCGTGTCTTGAGTCTGGCTTTCCGTAACATTTGGTTCCCTGACCGGGAAACGACTCACATGAGCAGGCCGTTTGCCTCCGGTGAAGACGGCTGGGGTCGGCCGGGTGAGCCCGGACTCCAGAGGGAAGCACGTGCCCCAGTGATTTCGGGTCCCGAGGGGCTGGGCTCCCCTTGGCCCCGACCTCGGGCCGTTCCATAACCCGGGCACTCGGGGAGCGGACCCAAGCCTACCTGAAGGCGCCAGATTGGTAAGTGCCCCGGGGACCAGACCCGAATCAGACCCACCTATAAGTGGTGGAAGGAGAGGCTGATCACCTCTCAGGCCAACCGGCCTCTGGCACGGTTTCCCTGTCGGGAGGGAAAGTGTTAACCTCAGTGTGATTGAGTGAGTGACTGACTGTGTGGCTCCACAGGCCAGCGGTGTTCCCCCGAGCCTACTGAGTCTGAGTGAGCCCTAACCTGCGGGTCCTCGGTCTGTCATACGGCATAACGGCTGGGAAGCTAACCCGGACTCTACTCGGGCAGCCTTAGCTAAGACAGACCCAAGTCCCTCGCGAGAAGAGAGGCCAGGTGGGCGAAAGTGAAAGTATCCCTGCTGCCCCCGTTTGCGCCGTTTCGGGAGGGATCATGGGGGGCAGACAGTCTACTGTCTTAGATTGCATGTTAAGGAATTTCGACCGGTTCCGGGGCCAGCAGCCCGATATGGATCCGGGGCAATTAGAAATTTTCTGTTCCGCTGAGTGGCCCAGGTTCGGGGTAGGCTGGCCTCCTGAAGGAACCCTTGACATAGACATAATTAGGGCTGTCCATCTCATAATCACAGGAAGTCCAGGACACCCAAACCAATTCCTCTACATAGAAAAGTGGCAGGAGCTAGCGCAAGAGATGCCCGACTGGCTCCGGAAGGGTGCGGGGGTCAAACCTCGTCACCTAGGCGCTACGGGAGGGCGAGCCAGGGGAGCCTGGAACTGTTGCTCCCGATCAAAGGAAAGGGATGTAACCCGCATCCTAGTTGCCAAACCAGTGGCGAGACCCCCTATCTATCAAGGCCCGCCAGAGGAAGACCCCCCGGTGCAGCCTCCCCCTTACCCAGCTAGGAACTTGGGAGGTCAGGCAGAGGCGCCTGAAACACCGCCCCCCTTCAGTCTCGCCCCCGCAGCCCGAGGCAACAGCGCCCCCAGAATCTCCTATCGCCTCCCGCTTAAGACACCACCAGTCCCTCCAGATGCCACTGCGGGAGACCCAGGGCCCGCCACTAACGGGGCCTGATGGGACCTTATACCCGGGACCGGTCGTGTTTTACTATCAGCCCTTTACCACGACTGACCTCTTGAACTGGAAACACCACACACCCTCATATTCGGAGAAGCCCCAGGCACTCGTAGACCTAATGGAGTCCATTATGCAAACTCACCGGCCAACGTGGCACGATTGCCGCCAATTGCTCCTAACCCTTTTTAATACAGAAGAGAGGCGCAGAGTCTTCCAGGAGGCCCAGAGATATCTAGAAGCCAACGCTCCAGTGGGCACAATAGACCCAGCCCAGTACGCTCGGGTGGCAGCCCCAGAGACCCAACCCGACTGGGATCACAACACCGAACAGGGAAGAGCAGCCCTGGACCGGTACAGGGAAGCCATCCTCCAGGGGGTCAGAGCTGGGGCCAGAAGACCGACCAATATGTCAAAGGTGGCCAGTGTTGTCCAACGGCCAGATGAATGTCCCGGGGACTTCTTAGAAAGGCTCCTAGAGGCCTACCGGATATACACCCCCTTCAACCCAGAAAGCCCAGATACACGGCTAATGGTAAACACTGCTTTTGTCTCCCAATCGGCCCCTGACATCCGCAAAAAGCTCCAGAAGCTAGAGGGCTTTGCAGGCATGAACATCAGTCAGCTGGTTGAGGTAGCAAATAAAGTCTACAATAACCGGGAGGAGGCCGCTGAGAAGGCAGCCCAAAAAAGATTAGAGAAAAAGGCCACACTGCTAGCAGCCGCCTCAGTCAGCCGGCAGCAAAAGGCAAAGGGGGACCGAAAGACCAGAAAGGGCATGCCAAGGTAGAGAGAGACCAATGTGCCTATTGTAAGGAAAGAGGACATTGGAAAAGAGAATGCCCGCACCGGAAAAAGAAGGCTGGTCCGGTGCCCTCTGAGCCGGCGCCCACCATCCTTAGCCTGGTGGGCCTAGACTCAGAATGAGGAAGACCGGGCTCCCTCAATCTAGGCCCCCATGAGCCCATGGTCGAAGCGATTGTTGGGGGCCAGACTCTCTCTTTCTTGGTAGATACCGGGGCAGAGCACTCGGTCGTCACCACCCCTGTAGCTCCCCCATCCGGACGAGAAGTCACCATCGTAGGGGCCACTGGTCAGCCAAGTAGCCCAAAACGCTTCTGCCAGGCCCGAATTGTTGATCTGGGAGGCCACCGGATTAGACATGAGTTCTTATACCTACCTGAATGCCCTGTCCCACTGTTAGGGCGAGACCTCTTATCGAAGCTGGGAGCTCGAATCACCTTCCAGCAGTCAGGGGAGGCCTCGCTGCAAGTGGACGGCCCTAGGCTCATGGCCCTCATTTTGCCACGAGAGGAAGAATACCAGTTGTATTCTGGGGAATCTGGTGACCACGGCCCCAGACCTGAGACTAGAGACAACCTGCTGCAGGAATTCCCCACGGTCTGGGCCGAGGACAATCCCCCTGGACTAGCCAGAAACCAGGTCCCAGTAATAATTGAACTCAAACCGGGGGCTAAACCGTGCCGCCAGCGACAGTACCCTATCTCAAGGGAGACCCGCCTAGGAATATCGGAGGTCATCCGAAAGCACCTCCAAGAGGGTATATTGGTCCCCTGTCAATCAACGTGGAATACCCCGCTCCTGCCAATCAAGAAACCTGAGGGAACAGGGTACCGTCCAGTGCAGGACCTCCGGGTGGTAAACGAAGCCGTCGTCACACTGCACCCGGTAGTCCCGAACCCATACACCCTACTGAGCCGACTCCCGCCAACCGCCGCCTGGTACACATGCCTAGACTTAAAGGACGGCTTCTTCTGCATCCCGGTAGCTCCAGCCAGCCAACCTATCTTTGCCTTTGAATGGGAAGACCCGCATACAGCGGTAAAGATACAGTTGACATGGACCCGGTTGCCACAGGGATTTAAGAACTCCCCCACGTTATTCGGCGAAGCGCTAGCCCGGGACCTGCAATCTTTCTCAGACGAGGGAAAGGATTTAACTCTACTCCAATATGTTGATGACCTCCTCTTAGCTGCCCCCGACCAGAGCCGATACCTAGAGGGGACAAGAGCGCTCCTAAAACTGCTAACCCAACAAGGGTACCAAGTCTCACGGAAAAAGGCACAAATCTGCCAACAAGAAGTCAAATATTTAGGGTTCCTAATTTCCCAAGGCAAAAGATCCCTAAATACAGACCGGAAAATGGTCAAATCCTGCTTCCCGGCCCTGAGCGGACGAAGACAATTACATGAGTTCCTGGGAGCAGCCGGCTTTTGCAGAATTTGGATCCCGGGGTTCGCAGCCAGAGCAAGGCCACTCTACCAGGCCCTGCGTGGGCCAGACACCTTACCCCTGGCATGGGGAAAAGAACAGGAACAGGCCTTTGCTCAAATAAAGGACCTCCTTAGTAAAGCCCCAGCTCTGGGCCTACCAGACCCCAGCCAGCCCTTCTATCTACACGTGCATGAAAAGGACAAGGTTGCTCTGGGGGTCTTAACTCAATCAGCCGGACCTTGGGAGCACCCAGTGGCTTACCTGTCTAAGCAACTGGATAACGTCGCGGCCGGGTGGCCCCCTTGCTTGAGGGCAGTTGCAGCTGCGGTATCCCTGCTACAAGAAGCGGACAAATTAATTTTGGGGCAGGAGACCACTCTATTCGTTCCCCATAGCATCCATAGCCTCCTGGCAGGACAGGGACACCGATGGCTGTCCAACCCCAGACTGACACAATATCAGGGCATACTCCAAGAGAGTCCTCGGGTCCAGGTAAAGACTGTAAAAAGATTAAACCCTGCAACCTTCCTGCCGACCGAACTAGGGGACCCAGACCACTGCTGCCTAGAGGTTACTGAGGAGGTCTATGCCAGCCGACCGGACCTGCGGGACCAGCCTCTGCCCAATGCTGACGTGACCTATTTCACAGACGGCAGCAGTTATATGAGAGAAGGGGTCCGAGTGGCAGGGTATGCAGTAACCACGCTTGACCAGGTGGTAGAAGCTAAAGCCTTGCCCTCTGGATGGTCGGCCCAGAGAGCGGAACTCTGGGCCTTAATAAGAGCACTGGAGTTGGCCCGGGACCGGAAAGTCAATATCTACACTGACTCCAAGTACGCCTACGCCACCCTGCACTTCCACGGGGCCATCTACCGAGAACGCGGGCTGCTGACAGCAGAAGGAAAGGAAATTAAAAACAAGACAGAAATCCTGCGTCTCCTCGAAGCAGTGTGGGCCCCAACTGCGGTGTCCGTCATCCACTGCAAAGGCCATTCCAAACAAGACACCATACCGGCCCGTGGGAACCAGAAGGCGGACTCGACAGCAAAGGCTGCCGCAGTATGTGGTGAGATGGCAGAAGTACAGCCCTCCCTTCTCGGACCCCTGCTGGGGAACCCCATTAACCGTCGGGACTATGAGCCAGCAGAAATGAAATGGGCCCAACAGGCTGGAGGACAAGAAACCCCCGAGGGAACTTGGAGGTTACCTGATGGGCGCGTATATGTGCCCCAGAGCCAGGCCAGCAATTTAGTCAGAAACTGCCACCATCTGACCCACCTGGGTAAGACCTCCCTGGAAAACTTGCTCAAAAGGTATTTCTACTTCCCCAACCTGTCAACCCTGTGCTCAACAGCCTTGGCTCAATGCGTTACCTGTGCAAGGAACATTGCAGCCCCGCATCAAGGGGCCCCACTGGGAGTCCAACACAAGGGGTCCCAGCCCTTCGAGGACCTCCAGATTGACTTTACAGAAGTCAAGACCAGCCGAGGATTTAAGTATCTCCTGGTCCTGATCTGCACCTTTTCGGGTTGGGTAGAAGCCTTCCCCACCAAAACTGAGAAAGCTCGGGAAGTAACCCGAATCCTACTCAGGGAAGTTATACCCAGATATGGGCTCCCACTCACCATTGGTAGTGACAATGGCCCGGCGTTCATCGCCCAGGTGGTTCAGGAGGTCGCCCGGCTCCTGCGCATCGACTGGAAGCTACACACGGCCTATCGGCCCCAAAGCTCCGGTAAAGCAGAACGAATGAACCGAACTCTCAAGGAAACCCTAGCCAAGTTCCATCAAGAAACCGGCCTGCCATGGACAGACCTGTTACCACTAGCCCTGCTACGGGTTAGGAATGCCCCGAACCCCTCGGGGTATACTCCCTATGAGTTAGTTTTTGGAAGACCCCCACCTATAACTAGAATAGGAAGTCCCAATGACCTTCGACAGAAGGGGGAGTTACAGCAGACCCAGTACTTACAACAGTTGGGTAAGACCCTAGACAGGATCTACGGGGCCCAATTGGGCCAGGAACCCAAACCCCGAGGGAGGCCAGCACACCCCTTCCGTCCAGGCCAGTATGTATGGGTAAAGGATTGGAAAAAGGAACCACTCCAACCCATTTGGACGGGCCCACATCTAGTACTATTAACCACCCCTACTGCCCTTAAAGTTACAGGAATAACCCCCTGGATCCACTACACTCGAGCCAAGGCAGCAGCAGATCCAGACGAGCCAGGACTTCGGAGCCACCGAACCTCCACCTCGAAGGGAGCCCCCACAGTCCGGCTGAAGAGAACTGAAGGACAGTGGGCCTTCTACCCGAGGAACCAGAGACCTGATCCCACCCCAGAGTAGTGACCAACCATCTTAGTTGGCAACCAAGGCATGATCCCTGCAGAATAGACGAGCCCTAGATCTCCTCACAGCAGAAAAAGGGGGGACTTGCCTATTCCTAGGCTGGAATCTTAACCCAGAAGGTTAAGGAGCTGAAAGATGGTGCGAAGCGCTACCGAGAGTCAGGGCAAGGGACATGGAGCTTAGATACCCAAATCTGGCTCCGCTGGCTGGCTCCATTCCTAGGCCCCCTGATATTACTCCTCTTAGGAATAAGTCTAGGACCCTGGCTGCTGCGCACCCTCATTAATAACCTAGAGACCGCGGTCACCAGACGAGCCGCTGCTTGAGTGCTGCTCCTCCAGCATCACCGATACCAAAGACTCCCGACCCAACCCCATCAGAGTGACCACCGTGGCTTGTGTGATGATGCTAAGACTCAGGCCAATCTCGTCTAGCATCAAAGGGGGGAATGATAAGGGCAAGATGACTTGGGAGGAGCAGCCTAGCCAGAGACCCCTCCCAGGTTAACTGTTAATCATTGCTTATCTGTTCCTGTAGCCCGTTTTCACATCCCTCCCCCCGCCTGGGTAGCACATCAATCTCATCAATCTCCCACCTGAATGCTAATCCCTTCCCCCACCTGGGAAGCCCATCCGTTTCCCGCCCGGAATGCTAGGGCTTATAAACCCCTATCTAACCCCGATTCGATTCGGGGCTCAGAATTTGGAGACTGCCTCCTCTGAGCCCGCGCGTGTGAATAAAGGCTTACTCCGTTCCCTGAATCGTGTCTTGAGTCTGGCTTTCCGTAACAATATAAAAAAAGAATAACATCCTTACCAAGTCAGGTTTTATGCAAGCCTGCTTCAATATTAGAAAGTTTATGTAACCTACCAGCTTAACCGCCTAAAGAAAAAAGAAAACACATGATTATATTAATAGATGCAGGAAAAGAATTTGAAAAATTAAGTATCAGTTTCTTGATAAAAACAAAACACAAAACTCAGCAAACTAGGGATAGAAGGGACTTTCCTCAATCTGATAAAAGCATCTGAAAGAACCTACAGCTAACATCATACTTAATGATGAAAGGCTGAATACTTCTCCTTAAGATCAAGAACAAAGCAAAGCTATCTCACTACTCCAATTCATCATCATACTGGAAGTCCTAACCAATAGAAGCAAAAAGAAAAAAGAAAAAAAGAAATAAAAGGCATAATAAAGACTGGAAAGGAAGAAATAAAACCGTCTGTATTTGCAGATGATATGATTGATTGTCTACAATGAAAACTCCAAGGAATCTAAAAAAACCCCAAAAAACCTAGACTAAGTGAGTTCAGCAAGGTTGCAGGATACAAGAATATAAGGTCAACGACCCCAAAGTCAAATGTATATCTGTATAGTACTAATAAATTGAAAAACAAAATTTTTAAAATAATATTTATAATAGTTCTAAAAAATGAAATACTTAAGTATAAATTTATCAAACATAATCTCTTTGCTCTGAAGTGGCAACTATTTTAATTTCTCTGAATCCCCTATGTAAATAGTTTTAGTACCATTGAATCTTTATGTTTTTATTTATATTGCATTGATATTTTCATGTACATTTTATATCGATAAAATCATCATATTTATTATTTTAAGGGCTTCCCAATATTCTATCCTATTTATATATTAGCATAATATAGGGAGAAGAATGTGAGTTTTTTAAACAGACCTCAATTTAAATTTTAGTTCCCCCAAAACTAAGTGTGATAGAGGCATTTAACCTTTCTCTGCCTTGGTCATCAATAAAATACCAAATAATCAGGTGCACAACAGAGTAGCTGCTTGTAATACCATAATTTTAAGAATTGTTAGGATCTTAATCCTCAGTCTTTAAATTTCTTTTTTCTCTTTTTTTTTTATATTCATCTGTGGTGATTAAACCTTAGGGAATTGACTTACAAGTGCTGGCTTATAAAGTGTCAGTTCATTAATAAACTGAGCAATATTTGTATTGGTTGCTTAGAATGCACTGTTCTTAGTATTTTGCTAAAAGCACACTTACTGATTTTTGCTTTCTGTCTCTCTATTTTGAACACTGTATTGTTCATTCCTCTTCAGTTTGCATTGATCATGAGTGATATAACCTCGGCCATAAAGTATTCCAGAATCCTATTGGCAGAAGTCCATGTAAGAGGCATGAGAGCTAGAGGAAAATTCACCCAGTAGGCATAGCCTCCAAAAAGGGGCTAGCAGTACAAATAGAAAATTCCAATAAAATCAGTGAATATGGTTCCCATTTGATGGACTGAGTTAGTTTAACAGAAGGGATTTTGAAACAGACAGTTTTTTCTTTCAGCAGCAGGGCAGAAACAGTGGCAAGGAGGTCCATTTGGTGATAAAGAAGAAGCCAGTCACTGAAAGACAATAGGGAAAAAACAAATCTGCAGGGAAAGTATTGTTAAGATTTACAAGGCTAGGGTTCAAGGTCAGGTTCCAGTCCCAGCAGGGAGTTGAATTTAAAAACCAGTAATGAGGACTGAAGTTTAGTCTGACAGACTGGCCACACCTGTAGGGAAAGCTGCAGACTGATTGTCTATATCTGTTCCCAGGGTTAATTGCCAGAGTGAAAGGAAGGACTGTTCTCAATCCCTCTCACTTGTGCAGAGACAGAAAGCATTTCACCTCAAAAATCAGCCCGAGGGCTTCGGAAGGTTTTAGTCATAAAATATGCCACGGGGCCGGGGCGGGGGGCGGTGTCAAAAAATATGCCATCAACAAGAAATGCCTCCATAATATGAATGTTATTTATAGTCAAATTGTAATGTAGAATTGTGTTTGAGATTTCTTGTTGAAAACCCATACCATCTGTATCAGTCAGGATTCAGGAAGCAGATGGTACCATCAAACTGAGTAATTAAGGATTGTTTAATAAAGGGGTTATTTATAAAGGCAAGGTTTAGAAAAAAATAAAGAAGGATGTTATAGTACCCCATGGCTAGTAACAGCAGGCAGCTATTTCCAGCCTTAATATAGAAAGGGCAATTGGAAGGAATGGTGGCTGAACCTTTGAGGGAGACCTATGTTATGACGACCACCTGATAGGAGTGGTAATTTTAGCAGAGGGGGAGAGCCAAGCTATAGCTATGCAGCAGGGAGGGAACCAGGGAAGTAAACATCCCTTCCTCCCTCTCCTACCAATTCCCTGTCAGTACCTGCCCCACTCCACATTTCTCTGAACACAACTAGAAGTCAGAGTACAAGGGAGCCCAGTTATGGAGTCCAAACAGGTCAGCATCTTAGAGCACAAAGTTAAAGAATGAATCAAAAGGGAGAAATCAATGATCTATGGTGCGTAGGTTCTCATTAAACCTAATCAAAGTGTCACTTTCCAGGCCTGAGTATTTTGGCTTTTTCATCCTTTTTTTGCCTCTGTCTACATCTTTGATTTTAGGCTTACCTTTCTTTTGGGCATATGACCCTCTGTCCACTAAACTCACACCCCCTGTGGAAGAGTCAAAAGGTAATCACATCTCTGCCTCTGAGCTGCCACTTCGTTCACCCAAAGCCACAGCTACCCCAGAAAAGGAAATTGGGTTCCTAGAGTGGGACAAAGCCTTACCTGGAGCTCTTCCTATTCTTTTAAGCATGGTTGCCAGTGATTTAGGTGAAGGTATAGGCAGTCCTGTAAAGGCCTGTGAGGAAACAGAATCATAGCTCTGGAAGACAATTCTTTCCCAACTGGAGAAAGGGATGGAGCATGTAGTGAACCTATCTGAGGAGGTGATTATCACTTGGCCTTATTTTGCCCAACTAGGTAAGGGCTTCATTCAAATTTCCAGTGGAGCATAACTGTCATGGAATAATTAAAATTGGCCAAATGGAAGGAATACTTAACCACTGGCAGCTTTTTACTGTTTTGTTTTGTTTTTTTTTTTTTGACATTTACCTTCTTGCTTTTTCAGTTTTTCCCCTGGCAGAGTAAGTGATGTCCTTTATTGAAAGATGAATTTTGGTGTAGAGAATTGGTCTACAATGAACAAGCTAAGACGTTACTAATACATTTAAATTGTCTTCTACCAATGCATTCTTTCATTAACATTAAAATCCAACAGTTGTTGTGATTGTGAAACAAGTAATATAAGTGTGATTTAACTTCTTTAGAACCTATGTGCACATTTTCAACCAACAGGATATAGAGCTTTTGTAATTATTTTCCTTTTTTAATGTTATGTTTGTTCTGTTATGTTTACTGAAATGTAAACATAAAAGTCAACAGTTGATGTTGAATGAAAATTTAAGAAAATTTTGAGCTGTATCTGATATCTTTTGAACATGTTGAATTGTTGGAATATTGATGTATAAAGATAGATTTATATTCCAAAGACAGATTAGAAAAAGATAATCTTTAAGGTACAGTATTTCTAGTGATTTTAAGTTCCTGGATAGATTTTCACAGTGCTTAAGAGAAGAATGTATTTCTCAAACCATTAAGATTTACAGTACTATTTAGTGAGTGAAAATATTTTTTTTAATTTTTAAAAAAGATTTTACTTATTTATTTTAGACAGAGAGGAAGGGGGGGAGAAAAAGAGGGAAAGACACATCAATGTGTGGTTGTGTCTCACATGCCCCCTACTGCGGACCTGACCTGGCCTGCAACCCAGGCATGTGCCCTGACCGGGAATTGAACCGGTGACCTTTTGCTTCTCAGGCTGGCGCTCAATCCACTGAGCCACACCAGCCAGGGCTCTATTTTCTTTTTTTAAAAAAAGATTTTATTTATTTATTTTTAAGAGAGGGAGAGAAACATCAAAGTGTGTTTGCCTCTTGCACGCCCCCTACTGGGGACCTGGCCCACAACCCAGGCATGTGCCTCAAACTGGGAATCCAACCAGTGACCCTTTGGTTTGCAGGACAGCACTCAATCCACTGAGCCACACCAACCAGGGCATATTTACATCTTTTAGTTTCTACACATGTATTTTAAACTAACTGTCCCTATTTGATTAGTCATGTTTGCAATCAAAAGTGTTCAACAGCTCATAGATAGACAACAGATTTAGAATTAGCAGGCTTGAAAAATTGTATATTTGAGAGATGTGGTGGGTTTAAACTGTCTGCAAATTTTTGAAGTTCTTTAAGAGGTGGAGACTAATTCTGCTACTTTGAGTGTAGGCTGGATTTAGTGACTCATTTCTAGCAAACAGAATAAGGCAGAGGTTATGGTACACCACTTCTAAGACTAGATAATAAAAGGCATTGGGGCTTCCTTCTTCCTTGCTTTCCTTAGTCTCTTGTTCTGGGGGAACCCAGCTGCTACATTGTTGCTAGACAACAAATTTAGACTTGAGTGATACTCAGAAGAAATTATTTTATCTATAGATCAAAAAACAGCAACACCACCCTTTTCTATCTGAGAATTTCTTTTCCTTTTCTGCACTAGCAAAGAAGCAAATGGGTATTTGATTTGCTGATATTTATGTATGATTTAAGAAATATCCAAACTTTTTATATTATCTCCACATATTAATAAAAATCTTTAAAACAGCAGATATCATTTTTAAAAGCATTAAATATTATATCTTAGGCAATTTAAAATTATAGTTTCCCTGTGCACTCAAATATTTAGCACAGATAACTCCATGGAGATAACAAAATGCAGTTCACACACAATTCCATTCCTTTCTTCTCCAGTG